TTCAGAGTTTACGAGGAGCCGGGGAGCATTCGAACAATAGTATGCTCGCTAACTTTGCTATACACCGTGAACTGCACCCTCAGAAACAAACTTGAATTATCATTAGAAACTTGAGGTCACATTTTCGCATTTTTAAATATTGCAGGAGAGTCTCTGGCCCGAATAATCGAATACTGCACATATTACAGATGATCATACGTTAAAGAGGAATTCAAGAACGAGCTGGCAAAAATGTCACTCGTATAAGCCCAGGTACTCAAATGGTTAACTTTATCAAGCATATGATTTTAAAATATTCCAAATAACGCGCAAAGATTATCGATTCATATATAGGATTCAGCAATACATTGCCAGTCACCAGTGTTCCTTGAATAAAGCGGCACAAGATTAAAGTTTATTACCAACTTATCCTCTTAACGAACCTAAATTAGGGCAAAGTTAATAAAATCTAAGGTCAAACAAAGTCAGTAAAAATAGTGTATGCGAAACGCTACTACAAATTTTTCCGGTCCTAGAGAATGAAAAAGACCTGACAACAATTCTTTCCGACGCTTTCGATTCGTCAATGTTTATATCCGCACGTACAGCGGATAATTTTCTTTTGTGGCCTGACGCGGCATCCACATTGTCACAAAGGCGCGCACTCTATTCCTCAAAATGTAAGGAAAACAGTAAGTGACCTTTTTTATGCTCATTTTTTTCCTGCTATGAACACTGCACCTATTCTCCTCAGTCTACACATTACGAGGCACGGACGAATGCATATTTCATCTTCCGGCGAGGCCGTTGAACTGGCGGAACCCGCCCCGAGAAGCGTGCGAGTAATCTTGTCCCCGTGATTCTCCTATAGTGGCTATTCGCGTGACGGTATGGGTCAGCGCCAGTAAACCGGGTCACAAACAACTGTAAATTAATGCCGGAGTCGGGTCATCGCCATGAAGGATCTCCGAAGTCTGGAGAGACCTAGGCATCCCGCGGTCAAAAACGAGCGCTTCTTGAAAATATATTCTTTTGGAAAAGAGTTCCTCAGTCAATGCGTGCACGAATCAGAGAGCGTTTTATGAAATCTTAATTCATTCTTTGTTGGGAAACCTTTTCTGAATAATCTCTTCGACAAGTGATGCACAATTAAGTGTTGTTGATTTTTACGGTGACCTGATGCTGAATTCTGTCGTGTTGAACAGGTTCAACAATTTGGAGATCTTGAGGCTAAACGACAACAGGCTGACGGAAGTGCCAGACAACGCGTTCGACAAGATGAGCGATAAGCTGCGTGAAATTCACCTGCAGAGGAACGTCATCTTGGACATGGGGCCTTTTGCGTTCCGTGGATTGAAGGCGCTGGAGATCGTGGACTTGTCGGAGAATCAATTGATTGAGGTTCCTGCGGGAGGTCTTTATTTTGACAAGACTCCAAAACTCGTTGACCTCTCCCGCAACAAGATCATTGGTCTTGACTCCGAGGCATTTTTGAACCCCGGAAACCCGCGTGAGTGGGCCCCTTATTATAGCTTCCTGATCCGGCAGTTACATTCTTGCATTCCCCTCATTCCGGCGCCATTAAAGT